ATATGTATATATGTGTATATATATATATACTTATTTATATATATATAAATATATATATATATATATGTGTGTGGGGGGGGGGGGTATGTGCGCGTGTGTGTGCGTCTCCGGTGGGATTCGAACCTGGGACCATCATTGACTGACCGTCTTAAAAGGTAATTTAAAAAAAAAGAAAAAGGGTATGGAAATTACCCAACTATACATCCAATCCAATCAGAACATTTGTAAAGCACCTTTCTTTGCAGATACGAAGCTCTACACTCCACATATTTAGGCACCTCACAACCTACAAGGAGCCGTCATCATTGCCTAAACCAAGCACAGAACAAATCAAAAGAAGCAGTGGCAAAGTTTGAAATCATAAATAAATAATGCAACAATGAATAAAATAAGAATAAAAATGGGATAATTAGTTAAAGAGGCGTCTTTAAGTTAGACCTAAAGGCAGCCACATCCTTGTCCGGTCTTTTTCTAACTTAAAAACTGCCTCCGGATCGATTCGAACCTGCGACCATCATTTACCGACTATCTTAAAAGGTAATTTTTAAAAGAACATTCGTTGAGAGATAGTATTCCACTTACCTGGTTCTGTTCTTGTTATCAGCTCACGAATTCTGATTACCCAATTCCAATGAATGCTACAATTGGTATGTAGTTTGCAGAAGCTTCCTGTTCGAATGGTATCTCATCCATAAGAAAGGGATGTGGCCACACTCTCGAACTTTCCATAGATTAAGCCCTGTCCAGACTATTAAATTTGATTCAAAAACATGTGACATGCCTAAATATGATCATGATGACATCACATCATGACTATATATATGCACATCATATCTAAATGGGCATAAAACATTGAAGAATATTTGTAACATTAACCGCTAAAACTCTAGGAGTCATTAATGAAATATTGTTGTCTGTCGGAGGTAATAGTAATGAAAGTTGATGGATGTAAAGAAAAAAAAAGGTATCGTTACTTTTTATATTCAAAGATATACCACATCGTTCAATAAAATTCAAAAGGTAATGTGTTTAGTCAATAGGTTTTCATGCTTCGATCAGGTAAATTCCATTCTTAGAAGAGGTCATTAATGGAGACAGAACTCCATGATAACAACAGTGTAGGGGCGCTTGTGTTTTGACACTAATTTGTGAGGTATTAGAGAGTATTCATCCCATTTTGGCACTCTTCAGGCGCTACATATATTTATACAGTTCAATATTGTTTTTATATGAGAAGATAAAACAGCAAAGACAAACTATTCAATTCCATTAATTTTGCTTTGAAATTCATCGTTAGTCAATATCCGCTTAAACAATCACACAAGAAGAAATTAACCAAAGAAATAAGACACATGAAGCTTATTATAATTAAGACAACTGTACATTGTAAGGGGTGGGGTAGGGACTTCGCT